GGGGGGGGGGGGGGTTAATGAGAGCTGACCTTCTTCGTTGGGGTCGTTGTGGAGCATCCTGGAGAACAGGATCAATTTCCCACGGGTTTGTTTTAGGCTATGCGGCAAGAAAGCATGCAGCCACCAATGGCGTTTCAAGTTCTCCTCGGAATGATAAAACTCCACCAGTTCGTCGCGTAAGGCATTTTTAAAGAGGGCAGGATCGCCATGGTTTTCCCTCTTGATGCTAACAATGATGGTTTCGGTAGGTTGGGAGGTCAAGAAATGGTCCAGAATGGTAAGGATTTCTTGGAACTTGATCTTCTGCGATTGGATGCCATGATAGGCTCTTAGTCTTCCTCTGTCGTCAATCTTGCTCTTCACAGCTTCCTTCTGCTTCTTGCTCTTATCACCCTTGCTCGGCAATGCCAGTCTGATGTCCAAAAAACGTATGCCCTCTTTCAGCTGCGTTGCCAATGGTCGGGTTTGACATTGTCCAATGGGCCATCCGTAAGTTGCACAACTTTGCTATCGACAGCAGCAGACAGTAGGTTGCAGAGCAAGATTAAATTCCTCCTGTATGTGCGGTACTATCATTCATTCTCAGCTGCTCACATGTGTGCCGGGGATCGTCAGCGAAGAGATCGGAACCTCGTCGGGCAAGTGAGACATCCAATTCGAAAAATTCCGTCTTTTCAGAACCATGATGGAGACCGACCCGTCGTCCGAGATCTGTGGGCGAAAGAGAGCTCCACATGTAAGCTTTCTTCCATCCATTCCCACGCGACTTCGGTCGATGAACGCGTGCAGGATAGGTCTAGTCGCCATCTCCCAGGTGAAGAATGATGAGGGTAGAAGGAAACAAAACTCAACAGATTGAAATATCTCAAACTTAGGTATGAATAGTTTTTTCCGGGCGGGCTCACTCCGATGGTCACCGTAGACATGTGGTGAAACAAGGGTGATGCCGTCCGTCTCTCCGCGCAAACCACGATCCACGGGGTGCTCGCTTGGACCAGCAATCGCGTCCGGTGGTTGTTCTTCTTCCACTAGCTCTTCATCCATCACTTCCTGGCCTCGGACTTTTAGCGGCTCTGAATTTAAATAATAGTCCACCTCTAGTCGCACCAAATTCTGATTTAGCGCGCGGTTATGACCAAGTACCGTGTTTCGAATTTTCTTCTTGAGGGTGGTAACGGCTCTTCCTCCTGGGTGCATCCCGTCCTTCTTCTTTGAGGAAGTGGCATGATGGCCATCACTAGTGGCGGTGGTAGCACTGCTGGCCGAACTATTGTGACGTGGCAAACGACTGGCTCTTCGTGTGTTTTTGTTCAATTCAATCTTGATCAACTCAGGTTCCTCCAAATCAATTGATATAACGCTCTGAAGATTCTGGAGCTTGAAGTCGGTCTTGATGGCTTTGGTTGGCGTGGTCTGGAAGGGTCCAATTATATCCGCGTAGCCTGATGCAGACAAGGATAATGGTGCTTCATAGTGGACTTGAATGGTGGCACTTGTCCGGTTGGATATTGAGAGAGGCAGGTAGTGGTTTAACATTCTTGCACCCTTGTTGTAATGAAAATCTGGACCGGCCGATGATCGTTTTAACTGACGACAAATTGTTGGCGAAAATTCGATTGAGGAGCCTTCAAGATTCAAGCGAATAAATGCGAGATTCAAGCGAATAAATGCGAGTCTGATGGGGATGTGGGAATGCAGGAGAGAGCTGGAGCGAGTGCCTGCGATAAAATTACCCTGAAAAAATATTGAGTGGAGATTATTTTTATTTTGCGGAGATATATTATTTAACGAGAGGAAAAATACCTTGATTGGACGTGTATGTATGATAAGTGGGGTATGAATGAATGTGTTATTTATTTAGATGGTTGCAATACTCTGCTGGACCGCAAGGGTATACCAGAGACACGAGAAAGCTCAAGTGGAATCAAGGAGAGAGACAGAATGTGATAGGTGAATAATCCAAGATTTTAGGGTTGGTTAGCTTATGAGGGGAGTCAGTGCGGTGGCAAGGGTGGCCTCCTTCACAGGGTATAATATCACGACAGGCAAAAAAATAGTAACAGAAATGAGAAAAAAAAAAAAATGGAGAAGGGAGATTGCTGGAGTCGAGCGAATGGAAGATGGGGAGAAGCAGTAATTCAGCGGGGCGGATGTTGTCTGTAAAGTTTCATACAACCCGGTATGCGTCACTTGATATAAGGTTGCAATATCACGAGAGAAGCTCCACAATTCTTCTGGATTTTAAGTTTTCTTTGATTGTCAATATTTTGTAGTGATCAGATTTGCGCGACGGGATGTTGTCAAGACTTTCTATGCACGGCTAAGGCGCACAAGCGGCACGGTGTATAGGCTGAGAGTGGTGAGACGATGGGCGGTGTACTGGAAAGAGGGGTGAGCCGTGAGTGTGGTGACTGGCCTTCTTGAAGGAAAGGCCGCACGCTGGAGAGCTGGAGGATCGACTTGACGGTTGTGAGAAGTCGATATCTGCCAAGAAGTCTGTTTCTGCTGCGACAGTTGGTGGGTATGTAGCCCGGAATAATTAATTAATATCCCTGCTGGAATAGCTCTGACGGTCTTTTGATGGTCTTTTGATTTATGGCTTGTAAAGGCGAATTGCGACGAAAGCAAAGCAAAACGTGATAAGCAGAGAGGGGGGACGCAGAAAGAAGTAGTGTGCCATTTTGCTTCGCAGAAATATTGCTCGACCCCGCTCAGGATTGGAAGGATCGGAGCTGGCGACCAGACCAGGACAATACAAACGGGGCTGGTGAACGCAAGAATGGTGTTGGCGACGGTTGGCTCAGTAGGATGGTTGGATACAACATGGCCAGAAGGCCATCACAGTCTGACTTGTTCAGTCGGTAACCAAGGATCAGACCGTGTAGGAACCAAGCATGCATCCTCAATGTGTTTGGCCCAGATGCATCCGCTCCTGCCGAATAGGGTCGAGCTAGCTGGTCGGAGAAGTCCCGGAGCAAGGATACATCACTATCAATACCAACACAGAATGCCTCGATATATGATGGTGCAGACAGTTTTAGCCTATTGGAGAACACGGCCGAGGGCAGCTCATTCTATAAGCAGCTAGAGTGCGCGTCACGTGCGCTCGACTTCAGTTCCAAATT